CCTCAGCGTGCAGCTCTCGCCGCCCACCCGCCCTGCGGCGAGCCGCGGGAGCCCGGAACCTCCCCGAGGGGCTCCGAGCCCCGGGTTACCGCCGTGCTCCCCGCGTCCGAAGGGCCGGCTCGGGCCTGGCTGGCGCTCTGCCGCCGGCGCGGAACAATAACGCCGCCGAGGTGCACCGCTCGAGGCGCGCACCCCGCGCCCCGCACCCCGAGGTGGCCGCTCTGCGCGCTCGCTCGGCGCGGGACCCGCAGCCCCGGCAGGGCACCCCGCGGACTCGGCCGGGCGGCGGGGGCGGAGAGAGCGCGGGGCCGGCGGTTTGTGAGGAGATGTCGCCTGGGGAGGAGAAGTCGCCAATCACTGGGCTCGCAACCGGTAGTTCAGGAGTCGGGGCGCCTGAGGGAGTGAGAGAACGTTCCGAAAGACCTGGCCTCGGAGGCTTGGTTCTGACTGGCGAGAGCAGGGCTCATTTAATCAGCTACACACGGCCGTATGTGGTTATTATTATTTTTCCTGCGTCTCCTTTGAACCATTGACAAAAGGTAAAATACCTTTTGGTGCCTGTAGTTGGAGCTGGGGAAAAATAAATCCTGTCAATGGAAGTGTCTCGCTTCAGAGCAGTGTCATAACCCGCCCCGCCCCCATCTTCCAGGCTTTAGATCCACGTTGATTTTCTCATATTTTGGAATCAGAGTACAAGTAATGCTGTTCACTGAGGAGTACGGGGCGAATCTGTTAGATTTAGGTCCTGGTGGTAATGAAACGGACCTACGCAGCGCCCCTCGCCTCCTCTGCTCCTGAAAACTTGGTGGTTTGGGGCTGCCTTTCTCCATTCTCTTCGCGCACTCCGCCGCCCGCTCCTCGGTCGTGCGCTCTCGACCAGCCTGACCCCTGACTCGGGTTTGCTCATCTGCAATCTGCGCCGACGCTGAACCCATTCAGAGAAAGCCGTGCTTCGGAGCTGCCGGCTGCCTGTTTGCAGATGGACGAACCTCCGCTAGAAACGCATACCAATGCATGCCGAAGTAACGAGCTTGACCTTCCTGCCACTGGCGATTAGAAAGAGGCCTGCCTCCCCGCACCTCTTCCTCGGATTAGCGGGACCCGAGGAAAAGTTTGCACCGCCGCGGCGAAGCGGGGTGCGCGAGCACACGCAGACTCGGGCAGGAGTTTGAGCTATAAATAGCTGCACCTCGGGGGGAGAGGTTCCCGCGGCCTCGCGCTCGCTCCCCCTCCTCCTCCGAGTGCGAACTACGTGAAAGGACTGTGATGTAGGAGCCCGAATTCTTTAAATGCAGAAGTGGGGTGCAGGTGGGAGGTGCCCTGCAGGCGGGCGGGCGGCCGGCGGCCGGCGCGGCTGGCTGGTCGTGCCCAGGTGCCCAGCGCGCAGCGGCGAGAAAG